TTCAGCGAATTTTTTAAAACTATATTTATAAATGTTATATTTGAAAATATCAAGTAATTCAATCTGTTTAGCAACAAAAATGTAGCTAGAGTACTCGAGACTCAATCATCTTTTTATAATAATACATGTTTGTACTACAGTGTAATAAAAGGACAAAGATGACATTGTTTTGGCTGACATCCTCTTTTTCTATAGTTAACAGCCACTTTATACAATCTTAGTACACATATTATAAATGATTGTCTGTCTCTAACATTGTCTAAGTGAATATGACATATACAGGATATAAGTATTATCTATGTACATACAAAAATGCACTCATTAATTATGAAAGGATGAAGACTATACTGTGGCCAATAGTTTATCTCTTTATCTCTTTCCTGTTCTTAGTTTTTTTTGGTGACGGTATTTTCATTAATAACAATCCTATCATGTGCACATTTCTTAATTATTTTTTTTAAATAAACACACACAGGTGAAAAAAAATATATAAACAATATAGACCATTGGCCTAAGGCCTCTAAGACTTCTTCAGAGAAATTTCCCACACCATAACAGTCAATACTGAATAAAATGTTTTTAAATTTGACAAAACTGTTGTATATATCATGTTCATCAAAATTTAAAATGAAAACAGAGAAATTACAGATTGGACTTCCCTCACTCCCTTACTTTCAAGAACTGTTGAAATCAACTGTTAGCCCTGTTTTACAATTAGGTTAAGACTTAACAAGAGTGCACACGCTGAAACTGAAATGTCTCGCCTTCTTTACTAACCATTGATATTATGTTGATAGTCCTAAATGAAAGCTTTACTACAACTATTACATAAACTTAACATGATCCAAGAAAATGAAGTCAAGGTCATACATGTATAAACCAAACGAGAAATACATGTACACCTTACAATCATTCAATACACTAAATATAGTTGACCTATTGCTTATAGTTTCTAAGAAACAGACTTAACCAAGAAAACTAAACATTGACCAATGAATTGTGAAAATGAGGTCAAGGTCAGATGAACCATGCCAGACAGACATGAACAGCTTACAATCCTTCCATACAACAAATATAGCTGACCTATTGCTTATAGTTTAAGAAAAACAGACTGAAACACATAAACTTAACACTGAGCAATGAACCGTGAAAATGAGGTCAAGGTCAAATAAAACCTGTGAGACTGACATGTACATCATAGAATATTTCCATACACCAAATATAGTTGACTTATTGCATATAGTATAAGAAAAAATTTGTAAGGGTTCCGCGGAACCCAGTGTCTCGCCTACTTTTGCTGTTAATCGCAGGCTCAACAAAAATGAGGAAAATAATTAATAAAAATATTCCTCTCTATACTATCTTTTGATTGTAAGTAGCTTCTGTCCAAGTTTGGTAAAAATCCAGGATGGTTTTTGAATCTAATAAATGTTTTTAAAACTTTAACTGCAGACTGTATGTAAAGTTAACTGGAAGAAAAACTAAGTCCATTTATAAGTAAAATACGGAAAAAAATGGAACAAAATTTTATCAAAATTTCCTTCTAGATACTAGCTTTTGATCATAAACAAGCTTCTGTCCAAGTGTGGTACAAATCCAGGATAGTTTAAGAAAGTTGTTAAAATTTTAAAAACTTTAACCACAGAGTGAATGTAATGTTAACTGGCAGAAAAACTAAGTCCATTTATAAGTAAAGTACGGAAAAAATGGGAATTTTTTTTTTACAAAATTTACCTCTGGACGCTATCTTATGATCATAAACAAACTTCTTTCCAAGTTTGGTAGAAATCCAGGATAGTTTAAGAAAGTTATTAAAATTTCAAAAACTTTAACCACAGAGTGAATGTAATGTTTCCTGGCAGAAAAACTAAGTCCATTTATAAGTAAAATACGGAAAAAATGGAATTTTTTTTTTACAAAATTTACTTTTGAATATAATCTTATGATCATATAAAAGCTCTGTCCAAGTTTGGTAGAAATCCAGGATAGTTTAAGAAAGTTATTAAAATTTCAAAAACTTTAACCACAGAGTGAATATTTGTGGACGCCGCCGACGACGACGGAATGTAGGATCGCTATGTCTCGCTTTTTCGACAAAAGTCGAAGGCTCGACAAAAAGACCAAAACTCAAAAACTTAACTTTGACCACTGAACCATGAAAATGAGGTCAAAGTCAGATGACACTTGCCAGTTGGACATGTACACCTTACAATCATTCCATACACCAAATATAGTAGACTTATTGCATAAAGTACAAGAAAAACGGACCAAAACACAAAAACTTAACTATAACCACTGAACCATGAAAATGAGGTCAAGGTCAGATGACACCTGCCAGTTGGACATGTACACCTTACAATCCTTCCATACACCAAATATACTAGACCTATTGCTTATAGTATCTGAGATATGGACTTGACCACCAAAACTTAACCTTGTTCACTGATCCATAAAATGAGGTCGAGGTCAAGTGAAAACTGTCTGACGGGCATGAGGACCTTGATAGGTACGCACATACCAAATATAGTTATCCTATTACTCATATAATAAGAGAGAAATTAACATTACAAAAAATCACAACTTTTTTTTCAAGTAGTCACTGAACCATGAAAATGAGGTCAAGGACAATGGACATGTGACAGACGGAAACTTCGTAACATAAGGCATCTATATACAAAGTATGAAGCATCCAGGTCTTCCACCTTCTAAAATATAAAGCTTTTAAGAAGTAAGCTAACGCCACCGTAGCCGGATCACTATCCCTAAGTCGAGCTTTCTGCGACAAAAGTCACAGGCTCGACAAAAATGAAATAAATGGGAAATAGATGATGCCCCCACTTGCATATCATATAAAGTTATAAAGGGACATAACTGAAGAACGGTCAAAGTTAGTTAACCAAATTTGTACTTGATCTGAGTTTTGTGGTAATAAGTATTGTGTATAAGTTTCATAATATTTGGTTGACATGGTTGAGGCAAACTAAGTTAGAGAACGGAAACGAAAAATTCAGAAATTTTTCCATTTGTAAAGGGGCATAACTCTAGAACAGTTAAAGTGACGCCACCAAAATTCAAACTTGATCTGTGTTTTGTGGTAATAAGCATTGTGTATTTTGGTTGAGGCAAAGTAAAGTTAGAGAACGGAAACGAAAAATTCAGCAATTTTCCCATTTGTAAAGGGACATAACTCTAGAACGGTTCAAGTGACGCCACCAAAATTCAAACTCGATCTGTGTTTTGTGGTGATAAGTATTGTGTATAAGTTTCATAACATTTAGTTGAGGCAAACTAAAGTAAGAGAACAGAAACAAAAAATTCAGCAATTTTTTCATTTGTAAAGAACGGTTAAAGTGACGCCACCAAAATTCCTGTGTTTTGTGGTAATTAGCATTGTGTATAAGTTGCATAACATTTGGTTGAGGCAAACTAAAGTTAGAGAACGGAAACCAACTTTGGGACGTACGGACGGACAAGGGTAAAACTTAAATGCCCCCTCCGCTACGGCAGGGGCATAAAAAAACATTATAAATTTGGTGCATTCAAATCGCTTTACAAATTTACATTCATCAGGAATTAGTAAATATTGGTAAAAACATTAAAATTTGTGGACCTATACATGCTATATGACCAAAAGTGACCTAAAAGGAATCACAAACTCCACCTTATGTCAACTTTGCCTGAGGGAATTTGAACCTTAATTTCTTCTCCAAACTGTTTAGAATATCTTGCCTATTCAATTATACATGTAGGGTACCTCAAAATCTGTTTTCCTCATGCATGGACAAAAGGGTATAAAAATCTTGACCTCTCATTAACAAGGATTAAAAGGGGGATACATGTACCTGTATAAATGTGTAAATTTGTTACTGGTCAGTAATTTCAGCTTCTTAGTCAAAGTACTAACTAGTGGTTTAAGACTTCAGTTATTCCTGGATATATATTGTATATGTATATAACTCAGATATTTTTTTTTAATTATAACTTAGACAATCATTGCCTAATGTTGTAATCCAAAGGCTCAAAAGTGATTTGAAACAAGATTTATTCGCATGATTTCTCAGAAAATATAAAATGAATATTGGTTAATAAGTATGCTCGATTGATCCCTCCGAAAATAAGCATCTTCCGAGGGATCAAACGCATAAACAGTATGGTATTCAGAAAATTTGCTAACTAATAGTCATTGCTTTTTACTTAACTATTTGCGCTTTGCAATATCCCTTGAATCCATTATTTTGCACAGTAAAATTCAGTAAAATTATATCTATCTAGGGCATTATAACCAAATTGGGAGAAAATCCCCAACCTAGTTAAGGATTATGTACCCTTTTGTTGTTTCAATGCTAAACATATATATGGAAATTTTATCAAAAATCCACAACATTTCCCCTTGCACTCTAATGCATGTATTTGGCAATTTGGTACTTCATAGATACACTGTACATGTAGGTGATTACTGCAGCAGCAGTGATAGCAATGATTTCCTAAAACAAGTGTTCAAATAAATATATTAGTCAACCAGTTGACGGTGGCCGCTTACCGGAAGAAGTCTACATAAGAACGAAAAAAGACCTATTCAAACACACCTTCAAGGGTGTACTTGACTTTAGTGACTCAGCACGAGGTTTTTTGGTGGATTGTAAAGGCTGTTTTAGACTTTTTTGGTAAATAATAAATGCTAGCTCAACATGGACAATTAAGTGAGTAATCTGTGTTTAAAACTTTAAAAGGAAAATCTCTGTAATAAAATTATGTGTATTTTCTGTAAGAATCTTGATTTGCAACAAAATCCCATTTTCAATTAAATGCAAGGAAGCAATAAATATTATTGCTGTGAATGAAATTTCCATTTGATATATGTACAAAATGGAATGTCTCTTGTTTTCAGTATTTTTGCTGTTTTGATATTTTTGCACCTTTAAAATTTTGTAATCCACCGGCCTACAAAAGGGTCATCAACCTTAAATCATAAATGTCTTTATTTTTCACTCGAAACTTACCTTTGGATCCTTTTCATAATAATGTTGCTGTGTACGAATCCAACGTCCAACTAAATGGTCTCTTATTGTATGTGCAAGTGCCAAATAGTAATCTCTTGGTGTAGCAACATTCCTATCCTTCACTATAGTATAGTGGAGATGCCTATTGAATGCTTTCTTCAAATCTACAACATTTTCCACGGGTGCAATTCCCCTTATACTAATTTGCTTGCGTCTGTCATGGTCAGTCTGAGGTTTAGCAGCCATAATGATTTTTATCTGACACCTTCAAACTGCTGATCTGCAATAGTCAGTTCCTAAATATCGAATAATCACAGTAATGTCGACCTTTGCCAAGGCCAGTTTCCTCGTCAAGGTTGACAACCGGAAGTAAATTACAGATTCATATTCGGGGGGTTACACTAATGTCCTGACAATGTCCTGACAATGTCCTGACAAAGTCCTGACGGATATGAAAATGCTAATTACGTTTTCATTATTTAAAGGATTTACTTTAAATTTGGAACCAAGCAAGATGACAACATTAATTTATTAAATAAAAGAAAAAAAATTAAAAAAAATATTTTTAAGAGTTAGAAAACTTGACCTGACCAACTTCGACTTTGAAATCACTAATGTCCTGACCGATATGAAACGGCTTAATACTTTTTTATTATTCACAGGATAGACTTCAAATTCGATATCAAGGAAGATTAAAACATTTAATCCAAAAATATAAGAAAAAAATGCAAAAAAAATAATTTTTAGAGTAAGAAAACTTGACCTGACCAACTACGACTTTGCCGCGATTAATGTCCGGACCGATATAAAACTGCTAATTTCCTTTTTTTCTTTGGAAGGATTGACTTCAAATTTGACACCAGACAAGAAAGTAATATTGATTTAATACTTATTTGAAAAGAATTGGGAAAAAAATACTTTAAGGGTAAAAAAACTTGACCTGACCAACATCGACTTTGTCGTGACTAATGTCCTGACCGATATAAAAGTGCTAATACTTGTAACATTGTTGGTATGATTGAGTTCTTATTTGAAACCAAGTCAAATTATAACGTTTTCTTTTTAATACTTTTTATAAAGTAATTGGAAAACAATATTTCATACGAAATAAAAACTTGACCTAACCACCTTCAATTTATTAAACTTAATACACAAACAAAAACGTTTTTAGTTCTTACCTTATATTGTCATTGAATTTATATTTATCTTATCCATAAAACACAACATCCAAAGCAAATAAATTTTGTTAAATGAAAAGATAGGGGAAATATGAGTACAAGTTGCTGACTGTGAGTATTGTTTACCCCTCATCACAACTCTACTTCATTTGATTTGATTAATAAGTGTGACTAATGAAACTAATTATTGAATTATTAAACCCAATTAAATAATTATAAAAGTGAAATGTAATTAGTTACCTACATTAATGATTTTAATAACTAAGTAAATGGAAAGGTTTTTTCTTCTTGATGTAACAATTATAATAAATAAAAAAAAACTGTATAAAAGTAAACGCAAAGGAAGGTGATATGAACCATTAAAATAAAATCACACCTATATTAATTACTATAATCACAAATTGGAATGTTTTCTTTCCTATCTGATTATTTATTTTTTGTTTATCTAGTTATTGAGTGATTATACATGTCATATAAAGGCAGGAAATGAGATTCGTATTGTTTAAAAACGATGTATATACAAGCATATAAATTACAATTATGTTAGAATCACAAAGAAATAAAATAAATTAATACACACAATTTTCACTAACAGAAAAAAAGAAGACATTCAATTAAATTGAGTTCAATAAAGATAAATGGAAAAGAACAATTTAGTCACGATTACCTACCACAATGAAAAACGTTCATATCTAATATATAGGAGTTAACACAACACAATACAATACAATACAATACAATACAATACAATACAATACAATACAATACAATACAATACAATACAATACAATACAATACAATACAATACAATACAATACAATACAATACAATACAATACAATACAATACAATACAATACAATACAATACAATACAATACAATACAATACAATACAATACAATACAATACAATACAATACAATACAATACAATACAATACAATACAATACAATACAATACAATACAATACAATACAATACAATACAATACAATACAATACAATGTTCAAGCATCGCGATGTTCATCACAGTACCAATCTTCTGAAACTCCTGAACATGTCTGATGAACCCACTTAGTACAGCTGATCCGTCCTCTTTTCGCTTCACATCCAATCATGTTCTCAAAAACATCTGGTTTACCACACTGACAACTACACTCAATTCTTCTGGCAAAAATCCTAACAAAGTCTGTACTTGATGTTGTATTTTGAGGAAATGGTGTAAAATGTCCTTTTTCCAAACACGATATTAAATGTGGTCGCATGTATTTCTCAATAAACTTCGTACGTCTTTGAGTGTTGAGTTTTTCTTTATGACAATATTCCACCATGTTGGCAATAGCATAAACACCACAGTCATATCCATTTGTTTGTTGTTGAACATCAGGTAATTTAACAAGCAAGTTCTTTTTTCCATGAGAATAAATAGCTGATAACTGAATTTCTGTCGATGGTGTTAATCTGAAATCTTTACTGTAACTATCTAACACATAAACGGCACTATCCTTTTTAGTCTGAAGAGATGTAATCCAATGAGATTTTCCGGTATGGTGAATTTGCACACATGGTGTATCTTGACTGGTGAATGTCCCGAAATTTTCTTCGGTGTTATCATAATCATTCGCACGTGGTTTCTTTCTTCCCGATTTTTTGTCGTTCCTTTTCAAATTTCTCTTGGATAGTAGTCTTAAATTAACAACTCTCGGTTTATTATCGGTTTCATCACCTAAAAACATTTTTGCAGCTAATATATGGTAATACTGTGTTGTCGATGGACACTGACATGTTTCTTTCGGTAGTAAGGTTACAGCATATATGTTTCCTTGAGTTCCCTTCACCATAAATGCCTTCTGCTGTTGCACAAATGTTACATTGTCGTTTTCTACTGTAAGACGGGCTAACGATTTTTGCGACAGATTCTTATCAATAATTGACACAACTTTCGGAATTTCGGTTGTTATTTCTTCACTGTTTTTAGTACATTGTTCACTATCACAAACCACACTTTGTAGTTCATTACTTTCGATATCTTCAATTAACGACACACACTTTGAATCTTCACTTAACGGCACAGAATTTGAATCTTGATTTAACAGCACAGTTGTTGATGTATTTTCAGTATATTCCTTAACGCATTCTTCTCGCACAGAATCTATTTCGGACATCACATGTTTCACAATATCATCAGGTTTAATCACACGTTTCGGTATACAAATTTCATCTTTTGGAATGCGGGCGTGTCTGAATTCATGTCTCAAATTGTAATTTCCTACACCGGCTAATCCTCTCTGAATTTCTGTTATGTAGTATACTTGAAGGTAATACATGCTTAAAACGAAGCAATCAACAGGAAGCTCTTTATATTTGTTTAATCGTTTGATAACGGCATTCATGCTTTCACACGCATTGTTGGTAACACCAGAAAACGGATCATAAAGATTTTCGTACTTGTTAATTATCCACTTCCCACAATGAAATAATATATCCTTTTCCATTTTGTTGAAATATGAAACAATCGGTTTTGACCACTTTACCATAAGCAATTGTTTTTTCTCCTTGTATTCTTCAACACTATCACAACGCAGTAATTCTCTTATGTTCGATAGATAAAACGCAATGTTTTCCTGATCGGCACCCATCTTATGTAAATTAAATTTGGCATCGGTTATCAAATGGTTCCAACACATTATAACATCGCTATTCGGAAAATTCTTTTCTATTGCATTCACTAATCCTGGTTCACGATCTGTAATAAATGGCACACACTTTCTGTTTAGCTTCGGAAACACTGATGACACAAATTCGAAAAATTTTGAATGCATTTTTTCTTTCTTCCTTCCATGTATAAGAAATGCTACTGGCATGATTGGGCGGTCTTCAAAAATTATGTTACGGAACACTAGCGGCGACACATAGAAATCTCCAAGTTTAAATGTTGTATCATAGAAAAATTGAAACGGTATATCCTCTTCAGTGTTAACATCCAGCAATTGGTTCACTATCGATATCATCTCCGGTAAGGCTATTATAGTGGGTGAGCGGTTGGAAGTGGAGGTAGGCAAGCGGTTAGAAGTGGAGGTAGGCAAGCGGTTAGAAGTGGGTGAGCGGTTAGAAGTGGAGGTAGGCAAGCGGTTAGAAGTGGAGGTAGGTAAACGGTTAGAAGTGGAGGTAGGCAAGCGGTTAGAAGTGGGTGAGCGGTTGGAAGTGGAGGTAGGCAAGCGGTTAGAAGTGGAGGTAGACAAGCGGTTAGAAGTGGAGGTAGGCAAGCGGTTAGAAGTGGAAGTAGGCAAGCGGTTAGAAGTGGAGGTAGGCAAGCGGTTAGAAGTGGAGGTAGACAAGCGGTAAGAAGTGGAAGTGGGTGAGCGGCTAGAAGTGGAGGTAGGTGCGACACAAACAGGATTTGGTGAGATGGTACATGCTGGAACAGATGAGGACGTGGTGGTAGGAACATGCACAGTGTTAGAGGTAGATGAAGTGTTAATAAGAGAAGATACCAGATAACATACCCGTGGAAGAGCAGGCCACTCTTCAATCACCTGAATACCTGTTGAAGTTAGTACTGGTTTTGGTGTTGGTGTTGGTGTTGGTGTTCGTATCGGTAAAGTGAGTAGTGCAGTTCGGTACAGTGATTGGTCTACAGCTGGTTCAGTTGGGTCAGGCATTGGTGTAGGTGCTTTTGGTGTTGGCGTTGGTGTTGACGTTGGTGTTGACGTTGGTAGTTCCCAGATGCTGTCATGAGTATCCTTGGTTTTGCGTAGATGACGAATGGCGCTCTCGATGTCTTTCACCACAGTTGATGTACCACGGTAGCTTAGATGAAGACCATCTCGACTGAGTAGGTGTCTCTGGATAGTACCTTTCTGGGCGAATGACGGGTGACCAACGTAGTGGAGTCTTGGAACTCGGGTAGCTAGTAACTGTAGTTTGGTATTGAGTAGCCGAGCTCTCTGGTTGAGTTCCGTTAGGAAGTTGGTGCGCAGAAGTGCCCCTGGGAATTGGTTGTCGGCTCTAGGTAGGACTCCAGATATGATGATGTCTGCTGTTGGGTTGCTGTGCCAAATGTCTGATGTCAGTTGTTGGTATTTCCTGAGTAGAGTCTTTACTGATGAACCACGGGAGAGGTCGTTGGCGCCAACGTGAAGTACCACGGTGTTGTAGTTGTCGATGGTTGGTTGCAGTTCGTTGAACATCTGGTCAATACGAAAACCTGAATAAGAAAGCACATTAGTTTCAGATAAAGATAAATATTGATTAAAATACTTGGCCTGGGAATGGCCAGCAATCAGCACTGGAAATGAAGACATGATTAGAATCAAGTAATATGTAACAAAAGCACAAAAAATATATTTACAATTTTCTACAATTAATTACACTAAACAAAAGCAAGGAGATTTATATACAAAGAAAAATAGCACTAAAGCAATATATCAATTCGAATAAAAAGCACTGAGGTTGTATGTATTAGAGCACTATGAAAACTTTTGAAAGAGACTAAAAATATGTATTATATTTATAACTGTAAGTAACTAATGTTCACTTTTAAAAAGCAATCACCAAAGCTTGTAGAAGCCCATAAATACCAATGTATTGTTTATCATAAATTATCAGTCTTAATAATAGCTGGTCACAGTTCACGTTCATAATTAATTAATTGGATTAACAAGTAGGTGATTAATCTAATCATAACAAGCCCCTAATCAGATAAACAATTAGAGCAATAACAGAAAGTTAACATGCATAAACAATACTCACATTCAGCAACTGGTTCTAATATTTCTCTTTCGTTTCATTTCAACAGTATCTTTCTGCGTTCAATGTTGTAATATCATTGTGATCGGATATTTTCAATTTCAATAATTTAAGGTAAGAGGTTAACATTTTCTTTCAGTTAGAAAATTGATCAGGACAAGTTCGACAATGTCAGGTCAATATATTTTTACCCTTGCAATACTTGTTCACATTTTTTTCTTTTTGTCATTTAAATATTTAATAAAATATTGATATTTATCAAACTTAAAGACATTTATTTAAGAAATATACATAGTCTTTCTATTTTTTAAACGAACATGTCTTTTTTTGGTGAATAGCCTATGTTGGTCAGGTCAAGTTTTTTGGTCTTTTGAATATTTGCTTTCTTTTCATTTCTTTTTATTTCTTTGTTAAATGTCGAAATCTTCCTTGCTACTAAATTTGAAGTTAATCCTTCCAAAGATAAAAAAGAAATTAGCAGTTTTATATCGGTCCGGACATTAGTCGCGGCAAAATCGTATTGGTCAGGTCAAGTTTTCTAACTCTAAAAATTATTTTTTTTTCATTTTTTTCTTATATTTTTGGATTAAATGTTTTAATCTTCCTTGATATCGAATTTGAAGTCTATCCTGTGAATAATAAAAAAGTATTTAGCCGTTTCATATCGGTCAGGACATTAGTGATTTCAAAGTCGAAGTTGGTCAGGTCAAGTTTTCTAACTCTTAAAAATATTTTTTTTAATTTTTTTTCTTTTATTTATTAGATTAATGTTGTCATCTTGCTTGGTTCCAAATTTAAAGTAAATCCTTTATATAATGAAAACGTAATTAGCATTTTCATATCCGTCAGGACTTTGTCAGGACATTGTCAGGACATTGTCAGGACATTAGTGTAACCCATATTCGGGGATTAAAAAATCCGGAAGTTTTGCTGTAACGTGTCTATTTATGTTTTTAGTGGCGAAGTAAATTTTTCAACTTTTTCATCGATTATTGTTTAATATAATAAAACAAATTTTGGTGATGAATAATTTGGTATTATCATGATTCAGCTGACGAAATTTTGAATATCAATAGCAAATATCTTTTATTATCTAAGAAAAAATAGACTTGTTAGACAAGATATTAAATGACTTCTATGTATGTATCTTTGGATATTTTAGTTGTTTGGGTGCTGTTGCTGTTCATTGACGTCTACCACATTTCAGGTTTTTTGTTTCGTTGGATTGCAAGCAAGAGCTTTTTAAAGTCCCTTATTTTTACCTTTTTACCTCCAACCAGTACCCGCTTAATCAATAGTTTTATAGACTTACCAAGGTTTTGTTTCTATTTAATGTTTGCAATATCTTTATTGACTTGTTAAAACGATACAAAAAAACACTGACAAATTCTGGAAAAATTGAAATCTCACGTGTACAAATCATTTATTAAAGCGGACGTCCCTGAAAGCACCAGATTAGTTGCCTGAATTTGTTTTACAATCTACACTTCACTATTGTACCGTGGATGTCAACATGTCCAAAAAAGTTTCACGTGTTGCAACAAATGCAATAGATTTGGAGTTCATAGAGGCTCTTGGAGGCGAAAAGGTAAAGTTATGAGAAATTCATTGGAATCAGAATTTTTTATAGCGGAATATACGTAGCTTTTATGAAATTTTGTATGCATTTAGATCTCCTTACATCTGAAATTATATCGAAAAATTATATGCATATGTACTTGTAAAATATGCAGCATTGACATTCCACAGATATTAATAATTTGATAAATGTATAAATTTCTTTAAAAAATCACTGTTAATATTTAAAAAGAATCTGTGGTAAATAATTGTGATGGCTTCACACTACACCGTAGGCTTTCATCAAATTCATGTCGATCCGTCCCAAGTCGTTCCGTCCCAAGTTGATCCGGCCAACATCGATCCAGCCCCAAAATAAATAATATTTATCAGGAATAAGAATAAAGGTATATATGAATTCACTATTCAGTGTAATTCATAAATGTTTATTAATTTTATAATAATATAAAATGTTGGCCTTTGACGAATATTTGAATATTAAATTTTCATCAGCTGAGACATTTATTTGAATATTTTTTTTAACTTTATATTAAGAATTCATATAGAAATATAATATTATTTTTATATAAAATCAATTTATCACCTTAAATGAATACGGATGATTATGCAGTATAAAACTATTATGTTGATTATGTTTAAATTACAAATTTTCAAGACTATTGGGTATGCATAATTATATTATAAACATATATAACAGAATTTAGTACCATCAACATTAATCGGCAGTTATTAGCATTTTTTCAATTGACAAGTCTTTCAGTTGGTGTAATAACAAATAGTTACATACACAACTGTACAAGCCGATCCCTTGGCTGAGGTATACAAACTTTGTTTTTGTTTAAAGTTATAAAAAACTTCTCAAATTGAGAAATGTTGTTTGATTTGCCGAATCCTTTCTATAAAAGAAGAGACATGGTGGGTACAAAAAAAAAAACCACGGAAGAGACAGTGGTGCAAAGAAATAATTGTACATTTCTTCGTCATGTTACCTGAAAAAAATGTAACAATTAATTATTAGATCTTCAAATAAAAGACCTTGTTGCTTAAGTAAATTTTATCAATCATGATTTTGATTGAATTAAGTGATTACGACTGGCGTTAATTTGGTTCACGATCATCAGACAATTGTTGAATAAACAAACCAATTATATAGACTATTGAAATGATTTAAACAAGTCATTATGATGATTACATAATTATATGTTCCATGATTGGATTGTAAATATCTATTTATCTCTTCTAAGTGTGAATTAAATAAAAAAAAAATCTGCATGATATTCCAAGTAATCATGGAAAACAACTTCATATTTATATGCTGATGCTGCTTAACAAACATTACCAATCATACTCATTTTGTATCCATTTAAAATAATTCATCTGAATATTACTCCAATATTAGGCATACTTCACTTACCTGCTGTCATTAAGCATCGTTACTTTTTACAAATTCCGTTTATCCTGATTTATATATGTCACCAAATCCTCTTGGGTCAGATCGAGTTTGGGCCGGAACAACCTGATACCCACCGTACAGAAATTTATTGTAAAAGTTGTTCATGTTTTTACATTTCACTAAAACTGAAATGATTATGACAAGTAAAACAAAGCAGTCTGCCCTATAAATTTTATATCTTTCAAACAGAAATGTTCACATCAATAATAGACTACAAGGGCCAGTAATATCCAATTTTAAAACAAAATTCTGTTTTTTGCAAACATCAATGTACATTTATTTTGGTTTTTCCAACTTCATAAGAATGATCCTTTGTTTGATAGTATTGATACATTTGTATAAAATTTGATGTGGTATTGGGGTCCAAATTTAGATGTCCAAATCCAAATTCATTTAACCCGTAATTACCATGTTGACCCATCTACTGCTTTTTTCTACATTTTTAAAGATTTTATGAATTACAAATGTACATGTATTGAACATGGTGAATCACGGGAGGTTACAATTGAATTAAAAATTTCATAGCTTAATTTTTAATTACGAAGAGATTCTGTTTGTCTCCTGTAGACAAGCTACATTTATATTATGCATTCACATTGTATAGCCAAATTATATTGAGCAAAAAAGTTATAATACAGATTATATGTGCAGAGCAGATGTTCTTGTAATAACGTTCAACAGGTACATTGTAGACTCAAGACCAATCATGAATGTTTAGATATAGCTGAATACATAAATGTTTCAGAGCTTGAATAACAAAGTGCCTTGATCATGTTGATAAAAAAGACCAAACCCATCTAAGGTACATATGACATATGTACTTAACTTGGTTTCAATTAATTTCTTTCATAACATGTACATGTAATAATATAGAAATAAGGAGCTGTGGTATGATTGCCAATGAGACAACTATCCACCAAAGTTTAAATGAAGTGGATGTAAGCAATTATAGGCAACAGTACGGCCGTATGTTTATTTCCCCTTGAATTTCTCAAAGTTGTTAAGAACAAGAACAATTAAATCTGTAAACTCAGTTTGAATAGATAATATTCCACTGTAAACATCGTAAAGAATGTTTCCTTTACAATGTAAATGAGAAGTTTTAACCCATTTGCCATTTTAGTTGGCCAATGTTCTTCATAATTTTATGTTTAATAGCCTTCATGGATATAATGTTTTTTGATGTTTCAGGGTGATCTTGATCTTCTTAATGACGTAGATGATGATGAAGAAGAAAATGAAGACCTTGATGACTTTGATGTTGATATGGATGCTGATCCAATCAAGAAAGATGAGGTAAAATTCAGAGCTACCTTTAATTTAAATACAAATGTAATAGTCTCCAACACACCATTGTGAACCAATTCAAAATTCTCTAGTTTGAATAGGTAAATATTTTGAGAAATTTAGCTTAAGATCAAATGATATAAAGTTGGTAAAATTAAAACTGAAGAGGTCCAAATTTATATTAAGTCTTTCTCTAGAGGAATTTTTCACACTGAAAGTTGAAATTGGACAGAAACTAGTTATGTTTGTCTAATGCTATAAAACATGTAAACAGACATTTTTAATTTGGTTTTGTATTAATTTTGTCACACCTGCTATCAAAAATTGTCGCAGTATGCGAGACATATGTATTACTATGCGGCGACTGCGATGTAAACTATTTGTATAAAGCTTTATATTTCAGACGGTAGAAGACCTGGATGCTTCATATCTTGTATGCAGATACATTATTTTATGAAGTTTCCGCCTGTCACATGTCCATTGTCCTTGACCTCATTTTCAGTGACTGCTTGAAAAAAAAAATTATATTTTTTTTTGTCATGTGAATTTCTCACTTATTATGAGTAATAGGATAAATATATTTAGTATATGGGTTCCTTGTAATGTCTAGGGTTCACCTGACCTCAACCACATTTCATGGATCAGTGATCAAGGTTTAAGATAGGTGATTAGGTCCATTTCTCAAATACTATAAGCAGCAGGTCAACTATATGTGGTGTATGGAATGATTGTATTGGCCATTTGGGTACTTGTCAGTCTCGCAGGTTACATCTTACCTTGAATTCATTTTCATGATTCATTGGTCAATGTTAAGTTTTTGTGTTTTGGGTTGTTTTTGCTCAAGTCCTATAAGCATTAAGTCAACTATATTTGGTGTATGGAATGATTGTGAGGTGTACATGTCTGTCTGGCAGGTATCATCTGGCCTTGCCCCTCATTTTTTATGGTTAATTGGTCAATGTTAAGTTTTGTGTTTTGATCTGTATTTCAAATAATAATAGTCATAGGTCAGTTATATTTGGTGTATGGAATAATTGTAAGGTGTACATGTCTGTTTGGCAGGTATAATCTGACCTTGACCTCGTTTTCATGGTTTATTGATCAATGTTAAGTGTCTGCTTTTCAATTACAATAAGCAATAGGTCAGCTATATTTGGTGTATACAAAAATTGTAAGGTGTATATGTCTGTCTGACAGGATTTATCTGACCTTGACCTCATTGTAATAGATTTTTAAACCCCACCTACGATATGTTTTCTGGTCTGTGCGTCCGTTCGTTCGTCCCTTTGTCCCTCTTCAGGTTAAAGTTTTTGGTCAAGGTAGTTTTTGATGAAGTTGAAGTCCAATCAACTTGAAACTTAGTACACATGATATGATCTTTCTAATTTTAATGCCAAACTAGAGTTTTGACCCCAATTTCATGGTCCACTAAACATAGAAAATGATTGTGCGAGTGGGGCATCCGCACTATGGACACATTCTTGTTAGAAATGTTAAAGTTTATGTGTGATACTTTTAGTACGCTATAGTAATTTTATAACATGTTGTTTTGTTTTTTTTACAGCTGAAAGAATTTATCAAGCTGTTAGGAATAAAGGAGCACCGTGATGTTGAGGGGTAAAATACTTATTATAATGATTGATTATCTGTTTGTAAATATCTGTAACTGGTAGAATATTGAAGGAGTACATGTATAAATCTTAAAACGAAATATTAGTAAAAATGGTAAGTGCAGGCATTCTTGAAAAGATGTCTGAGAAGTAAGTTTTGACTGTACCAAGTCAGGAATATGACAGTTGTTTTCCATTCGTTAGATGTGTTTGAGCTTTTGATTTTGTCATTATATAAAGAACTTTCCGTTTTGAATTTCCCTTGGAGTTCGGTATTTTTGTCATTTTACTTTTTGTTCATGTTCATAGAGAAACGGTGGGATTTGTTTGTATTTATAAAGAGAGATGAAAAGAGATTTGAGCACGCAAAATTTATATGTATAGTTTATGAAAATTCTTAACGACTTAAAGGGATAAATATAATGCAGGATTTACTTATTAAAAAGAAAATTTTGCAGTAAAATATTCCAAACATAATGAAACTAAAGCAGTGGAATAAAGAAAATTAGTTTCATTTCTATCCACATTTCGCAATATCTACAAAAGAATTTTTCAAGCACAGACAGCAAAATTATTTTTAGGCAGTTAAGCTGCCTTATGCTACCACCCTAGATTTGTGTTCTTCCCACTGAATGGCGAAAAAAGTGCTATTGTTATTAAATTGCTGGCTAATATGTTATTAATAACTAATTGGGCACTTTTTTCATACTTTTAATTCTGGAATACAAAAAATATGACCAGAAAAACCTTAAATGATCGTCGAACAACCCAAAAGTTTTGAAGTTGCACATAGGAAGTAGTGCTCAATAGAAATTCGTATGTAGTTTATTTTCCCCTGTGTTTTTGGCTAAGATGTCAAAGAACAATTGTATGAAATATTTTATCGTCGAAAAACTCTAAAGACAAGTCGTTTACATTTCCCAAATGGCAAAAGTCGTAGGAATATTGTTTGTCGTCGATACGTATTAAATATGTCAGTAGTCTATTAATAAGTTGGCGGCAATTTCAAATTAGAAGACGAATTTTACGTATCTTTTAAATTTGGAGGATTCTGATGATAGAAAGGTAATTATTGTTAATCATGATATTCTTTTTGTTTGAGATGAGTGTTAATAAATTGTGTATTCACATTTGGATTTCATTCTTTTGTATTACTCCGTTTTTCACATAAATGACCTTGTCAAGTAATGCACCAACATGGTGTTTACACTTGTTGAATAAAACCGGAAATCAAGAAGGTCTCACTAATTACCGACAAGAAGATTGTAGAGACAATAAGCGACAAGAAGATAAAACTTAGCGACAGGAAGAATGAATTTGCGATAAGAAGATAAATTAGAGACAAGAAAGTTTATACACTGTTAGAATAATAAATTTATAGAAAAGTCAATTAATTACAGTTGATTATTTTCTGTTGTGTGAAGTTTAAAATTATGTTACATTTAGTAGCCGTCCGTACTTCTTGACGCTTCTTGTCGTTTCTTGTCGCTAAGAGACCTTGTAAATATGTCAAACTTGCCGAGACTGACAGTAGTATGTGATATACATGTATATGGATTTTAGACTCAGAAAGATCGTGTGATAATAGAAAGTCACAAGAAAATGTAGAAACCCCATTCATATATCACTGTATACAGGTACGGATGTCCGAAAAATGTATAAAATCAGCGAGAATCAAAAAAGAGCAAATGTGAATATAGGAAATATATGCGGATAAAAGAATTCGGTCTAGATCACCTTGATCTTGACATGAAGCCAGTGTCCTACTCTCAGGCACTTGTTTATATCCATGGGAAGATTAAGGAGCTCAAAATATACGTTGATATTGGGTCTTCCCATGCAAAGAAACAAGTGCATGTGGTCAGACTTTGACATTTCAATGTTTACGATATTTTTTCTAAACCAGAACTTTTTTATTTCTGGCCAATCTGGGCCTAAAAAAATCTTCATCTATGGCCCATTTTAAAGAAGATATATCTTTCAAGAAGTGTAAAGTCCAAGAATGTTTTACCAACCGTTTATTTATTCCAATATTGATATAGATCTCGAGTAACATCATGGACTTGGAGGGGGCGGGTCATTTACATTTACTAAAGGCAGGTCAATCAGACCTCACCTTTGACTCCTGTTATAGTTTGATCGTCTGATTTGTGTCATACATTTTGTACTGTAGAACTTAAATTGAACAAACTCAGTGTTCTCCACAGGGAAGCAAGTCAATGCACACTATTGCAAAGTTGTATCATGCCATTTAACTTATACCACTAAAAGTCAACTCAAATCAACATTAACCACTAAATTTTAGAATTCACAATATAATTCTGTCGGATAGACCTATCAGAGACCATGTGTCAACTTACAACAGAGGCAGACTAGAGCATACTATATTAAATGACATGTTCATTGTATGTATAAAATTGAATGAAAGAAATAAAATTTAACATAATTTTATCTCTCTGACACTCAAACTGCTCATCTTTTTTATTTTGTCGAAAATCAAACTTTGATCTGACCCTAAAAAAAGAATATCCCATGCAGTGGCGGATCCAGAACTTTTCATAAAGGGGGGGGGGGGGGGGGGGGGGGGGGGGGGGGGGGGGGGGGCGCTCATCCTTCATGCTTCAGTGATTCCCTATATAATCAACCAAATTTTTCCCACAAAAGGGGGGCCAGAGCCCCCCCCCCCCCCCCCCCCCCTGGATCCGCCTATGCCATGATCCCATAATGATTTCTTTTCAAATTAATTGACAAAACTTGTGTAAATATAATTTATCATGATTGTATATTCTAAATAAACAATATAAATATTTGTATTTGTTTTTATTTTAGCTAGATTCCAATTCTTGGCTTCAATATCCTAGAAGTGACAAGGCATGCATGTACAATACATGATACTATCTAGTAGCTGCATTGACTAGTCATCATAATAATTCCATGACAGCTATGAAATTCTAGACCTTTTTGATGTTTTAAATATAGTTATACATGTATGACATGTTTATCTACAGATATGATCGAAGTACATGAACTATGAAACTTTTTACCAGGTCTTATCATATGACGACTAGTCAGACAAATTTTGGTTCAGATTTCTGACAGGAATTTTAACAAAATTGCCAGGGGTTACAACACATGAATATTATTTTCATGGAGTTTACTGTAACCGTCCAGTTATTTTTAGAGGCTGTCTAATGATACATGTATCAGTCAGGGTTCTACTTCGTCAAAATTATCTCCCCATTACGCCAGGTTATTTTTACAATCGTAAAAATGGAAGCCATTGTAGGGATGACGCGTTTCCAATTTAGCTCTTGAAAACCGATAAATTTATCCACATAGCACCATTACGATCCTTATATGCCAGGTGTATTTTAAAAGACAAATGTATCTACTAGCTAATGAGCATCAGTTAATGTACTTGTCTGCATTCAGTCAACTTAAAACTTTTGTCGGATCGGTTGTCAGGTGGAAATTTCGGAAATTCATAAACATTTAAAAACATTCTAATTAAATATTTCGTGGAAGGGCAGACTAAAAATTTTCAGTGGTTGAAGACTATAAACCCTAATTGTCACACACAAAAAATGAAGTTTTTTCGAAGATATGCATTTTTAAGATCCAACTTAAAAGTCAGTCGTCAAGTACTTTTAGTAAAAATTTTCTATTCGAACACACCTACACTGTTTTTGTGATTCATTAGAAAAGTATTTCACTTGACCCATATATTTAATTTTTTAGTACTGTGAACTTTCGATGTTATAAAGTCAACCTGTAGCCTTGATATATAAAAATAATAGAATCTGAAGCGAGATGATGTATCAAATACTCTTGCTTTATACGTTTTCAAGACAAAATATTTAACTCAAACACGCCCTAACATAAAAAGGTGCACTCGATTTTATCTTATCGATGCAATTGTTACCCATTTTTATACGACCGCAAAAAAATTTTGTGGTCGTATATTGGTATGACGTTGGCGTCGTCGTCGTCGTCGTCCGGCGTCGTCGTCGTCGTCGTCGTCGTCCGGCGTCGTCGTCCGAATACATATTGGTTTTCGCACTCTAACTTTAGTTTAAGTGAATGGATCTTTTTGAAATTTGACCATAAGGTTAAATACCACAAAAGGAAGGTTGGGATTGATTTTGGGGGTTATGGTACCAACAGTTAAGGAATTAGGGGCCAAAAAGGGGCCAAAAATGAGCATTTTCTAGTTTTTAGACAATAAATGTGGAACGGTGTATGGATCTCTCTGAAATTATACTACAAGTTTCCATACCACAAAGGGATGGTTAGGATTTGCTTTGGGGGGTTATGGCTCAAACCGTTTAGGAATTAGGGGCAAAAAAGGGGGAAAAACAAGGTTGTCCTGGTTAATGGACAAATACTTTAGTACAAAACATAATTTAAAGCAGTGTAAGGGAGATAAATCAAATACATCATTGAAATTATCTCCCTTACACTGCTTTTAAATTATGTATAAAGTAATGGTTAATGAACAATAAAGATAATCTAAAACAGTGTAAGGGAGGTAATCCAAATACAACGTTTTGGTTACTTCCCTTACACTGCTTTTAAATTATGTTTAAAGAAATGCATATTTATAAAGGAAGACCAGTAAAAATATCTGCAAATGTTTTCATCTTTTTTTTTTACAAAAAAATCCATATGAAAGATTTGACACTATATTTTTATTGATTCTATTATAAAATAGATTAAGTTAGCACTATGGTAAATTTAAATGGGTAATTATGGTTGCCAACTCCATTGGAAATTAGAATTGAGATTATGACCATATCTTGAGGGAAAGAATTTTTTTGGGGGAAAAAGGGGGGGGGGGATAAAAAGAAATTGTGGGGGGCCAATTTTTTCTCATTTCAGATTTCAGAAATTAAAAAAAATTATTCTTCAAATATTATTTTTTTTTTCATCTATTTTAATAGCCTTATGATGTAGTTAAATTTTTTTTAATACTTTTATGATGTATTTTAATGCGCTTTTATGGTTGCA